GCCAGTTATAATAAGATGTAGTGCGATGGATCCGTCTTGCGACGCTGAGCTCAAATCCGTTTTCGTTATCTGCGGAACGATTCTCTGAAAGAAGTTACGAGGGATTCTTCTCTTTGTGGCTTTCTCACTGTGGCACCCTCTACATCCCCTAGCTCTTTCTTTATTCCTGTGCACACTGCGAAAAGCTGTTTTGTTTTGATCACATGTGAAGAACTATCACATATGCTCGCAAGTTATTGAAATTTTGTATATTTACGAGCCTGTGTCCTTGTGTTTTGTTCCGTGTGTCAAAGTTCATCATAATAGAAAACCTAAAAAGAAGGACGAGAAGGAAATTCCAGAGTCTGCTTCAGCCATATGGCCAACTATCTAGGCTGCTTCTGCTCTTCTTATGCGAACCGTGGGGATAGGGAATGTAGAGGGCGCCACAGTGAAAAAGCCACAGTGAGAAGAATCCCTCGTAACTTCTTTCAGAGAATCGTTCCGCAGATACCGAAAACGGATTTGAGCTCAGCGTCGCAAGACGCGTCCATCGGACTACACCTCATTACAAATGGCCGGACTGACCAAGTTGAGCATTCCTTGTAGGAGCAATATATGCGTGCAGCTTACGCGTTCATAATGATTAGGAAGATAGTATTATACGATTTATTTATAGGTATTGTTGCCTTCCTTGGTGCCACAGACTCTTACCTACTTTCTCATGCCTATTTTACTACGTTACTCAAAGGCGCTAGCGCCCAAATCGTTTTCGGATTTGAGTAAGTTAGTTTCATGTGTTTGTTTAATAATTTAGTCATGTAGCCTCATTGGATCGCAATTTTAGATATGCAATCTTGATGGCTTTAGTGATCCATGTAACCATAAAGTATATTCTTCACATGCACGACTTGCGAACCGCACAAGCGTGGGAGAACAAAGCTGTTTATCTGCTCTATGCGGAACTCTTCATTAGTGAGTTTCACTCTTAATCCTTGCTTGTTCAGATTACTTTCAGGATTAAAAATTTGTCAACATAATTTCAGATCTTATACGATGCGTTTTGTATGGATTATTCGCCGCTGTTATGCTCCGCGTCCACTCGTTCCCGTTATTCTCAGTGCGACCATTCTATCTATCTCTGCGAGCTTTGCATAAAGCGGTCAATGATGTCATTTTGAGTCGAAGAGCCATAAACGCCATGAACAAGTGAGTTTAGCTATTTTTATTGTTAAACTGTGTTTCAGTTCATTGTTGTCATAGAGGGAGGATGGAGAATCAAAAAAGAACAGTGACTTGAGTAGCGTTAGGGGATCTAGAACGTCCAGGGGTATTATCCCATCTGTTCAAGGAAGCGAGATACATGTAGAAGTATTTGGGAAACACACCGTTGCGTATACGTCCAGACAACGTTTTTCGTTTTTTTTCGAAGCATATCCAGCAAAATCAAACTTTCCGAACCAAACCCAGCACAGAGGTCCTAGGAACCATGGCCATCAGACGAAAAGGTTTCTTTCTTGGATGGTTACAGCAGTCTTTGGGGCAACCGTCTGTAGTTACTCAGTTCTTTGCACAGTCTGAGTTCTGTACTCTACATAGAATATCAAATGAAGTGAAAGGCCATGGATTCTGTTCACATCGCCTTCCTTAACTCCTTAACACGTTGACGACATCGCGTGTTTTGGCATTTTGCCCCGCGTTGGACACGAGCAGTTATACGAAGTTATACGACTTCACCTTATTCCGCTTATTTTCTTGTTTAACCCTTTCGGCCCTGGCGGTGGCAATTGCCACCACCAAATTCAAACGCTTGCATTGCCGCTGAAACAGCATGGTTTTTTCTAATCCTGCTAGAGGTTGCTTCAGTCAACCTTCCCCTTCCTAATTATGAGCTAAACCTGCCATTTCATTGTGTGTTGCTGTTAGTATTACAAGTATTTGTGTACAAGTGCAACAATGAATCGGCGCTGGTCCCCGCAACCGGCCAAGTAAGTGTCACTTTTTCTTAAAATACTTGAAGTAGATCCATTCTTAAATCAAAATTATGGGTTATAATGTTGTGCAAGATTATAAACTTTTTCGGCATAACTATGAAATTTCGAATTGTTTCGACATAAGCTTAAAAACTAAGAAGGTGGGCCAATTTTCAAAGCTTCTTAGTTTCTTTGTTTGTGATCGAATAGCTTCCCAAATTTCGCCATAATGATACCTATATGCTCACAAGTAATAAACAATAGCTAGAAGAAAAATTTCTCCACGGGGAAAAATTCAGTTGGTCGAAGGGTTTAAAAATGTACAAAAAATTGAATATCACACAATTATTACGGCAAGGATGAAAGCACAAAGGTTAACTATAGCTAAACTGTATAAATGGCAGTAGATTTTCGTTTAGAAGAACGCATAATGACCACGAAGAAGCAAAAAACATCACTTTCGTTGCGAATAAAGTTAAAAGCATTTCCAAGCAAGTTCTTCCATCAAATACAAATATTTTGAGACTTACAAAGTCTTGTGTTACCTGTTTCTACAATGGTATATATGAATGTTCACGACAGTGAAAGGAATACTAGGAAAGAATTGAATGAAAGTTTTGTGCGTTCAGAAAATCGTTGCTAAATCAAGGGATATTTGACCACTCTAGCTGCCATGTGGTTTATAGTTATGCTAATGTATCATCTATAAAATGAATGCAAAAAAACTCGAGAAGAAGGAACGAATGCAAAAAAAACTCGAGAAGAAGGAACGCAAGCACTTTAAAAATGAACAACATAGTTCTGACGCGCATGCGCGTCAGAATGTCCGATGCGGTGCAAAAGTTCTGACGCGCTTGCGCGTCAGCCTGTCGTCAACGTGTTAATGGAACTTGTTTTGGTATAACTTTCACTCCTTTATACTTGTTCTTTTCAGCTTATTTCCAATTGTGTCAGCTGAAGATCTGGCTACAATGGATGCCACATGCATCATTTGTCGAGATGAAATGACACCAGAATCAACACCGAAACGACTTCCCTGTGGGCATGTCTTCCATACGCACTGTCTGCGAAGTTGGTTCCAACGACAGCAAACATGCCCCACCTGTAGGACGGACATTTTAGGTAAGGGCTTTCTCAAAATAGCGAAATCGCGCTCTAATGGTGCAGCCCAAATCAGTTGGAGAAGCACGATTTTTTTAAGGTTCCTTAATGCTAGAGTCCATAAAAGCATGACGGCACCGCTCCTGAGCTCCTGTCCTTTAAATGGGACGGAGCATACAAATTTGAGTAAAATCTTGAAATAGTAGAAGTCAAACTTAGCGGAGGTGAACCTAGAGAAAGGAATATAGGAATCATCGTCGAAGAAATCTATTAGTCAATAGTACAAAATTGAGGAGGAGCACCAGAAAGTAATTAAGCGCTAGATGTTGTAGGCTCGCACACAGGATTTTTCCAGGATTCAGACGAAATCAAAAAGATAGCGCTATCTGAGATACCGTGTAATCGTTCATTGTTTATTAGCATGGCACGACACTTTTCAGAGGAAAGTTTGTATCTCATTTTCGCAATTACTTAGCTCAGAAACTAAAAACCCATAGGAAAACATGGACGCAAGTATTTATTTGTCTTGACTGACAGTTCGCTACACAATCCAAAATTGTGTTCTATTTAAGGATGCCTTTATGCTGTAATATCGGCATTTATGCGCAACCGTAAATGCGAATAGTGGCATTATTCACCAGATCAACATTACGGTTCAGCGAACGTGTAAAAGAATGATTGCACATAACACATCAGATCTTTTAAGCGGCAGCCGGTCAACGTGCAGCAGCAAACGGCGCTGTGCCAGCCGCACAGCCTAACAACGTTCCTGCTCAGAACGGGGCTGTCAACGCTCGTCTACCTCCGAATCTTTTTCCATTTATGGCGCATCAGTTTGCTGTTCCTCAACCTCGACCACCGACTCAGGACAATGTGAGAAGCAACATATAGATATCTTGCGTTTTGTTGTTGATTTGGCATATTGCAGACAGCTCCTGCTGCTGCTGGTGGTGGAGAAGGAGAAGGACGAACCAATGATCCGAGAGCGTTCCCAAATCCGGTGGGTGGAGTGCCTGCTGGTTTTCCTTCAGGACCCTTTCCCGCTTTTCCACCACCATTTCCCCAAGACATGGTATTGAACCTGGATAATTTTACTAGATGTAGATGATGATTAATATCACTTTAGCCACAATTTCCTCCATTCCCATTCATGGCTCCACTACCTCCATTTCCTATGGAAATGCCTCGTCCTCCGCCGCAACTCGATCAGCTGACCGAAGAGGATCTACGTGCTATGGAAGGTGAGTTTGTGATACGTTTCGTTGTAAAATCCGTCATGTTTTGAATTATTAACTTTTTCCTCATTCAAGGCCAAAGTCGTGCTGCCTTGGAGCGTCGCATAAAGATGCTACAAGATATATCAACGCTGTTGGATGCGGCTGTCGCGCAAATGCATCAGTATACTTCTATCTTCGGGTATCATTTTGAGCATTTCCTCTGAAGAAAGAATTTCCTCCTTCCTTCTCCTTCTGAAGACCGTTATTCTGTATCGAGCGGTAACCTTAGTTGTTTTCTAT